AGACTATGATAATTAATTTAAATACTTTGGTCATATGTGTAAGAAATGAGCTATATCGAGAATAAATTCTCTACTATCAGTTTAAAATGGGCGTGTGAAACTTAATAATTAATTAATATTTCGTCAATTTGTTTAGGAAAATCGACATTGTTGAATTATTTACTGCCGAAAGAAGCCTGAAGTCATGATATTGTTCCAACTGTCGGTTTTAACATTGAAAACTTCTATTGTAAAGGTCTCTCATTTCCGGCATTCGATAAACCGGATCTTCGAAGGGTATGCGGAATCCCCATGGTCATATTCGGAATCAGCATGGTTGATAACCTATAACCCACTGGATTTCGATCAGAAAGCGATTTACCACCTCAGATGGTTCTCTCGTCAGAGCTCGGTGACGTCTCCTTTTGTCGCGCAAAAAAATCCCCAACTTTGTATATAAAAAGTAGGTAGGTTCTGAGCAGGTGTATAGAAGAAAAATTCAAAAATAAGTGGATGAGTGGAAACCTTGGTTTTCTTAAATTACTACTTCCGGCACTATAAAATTATTTCAAGTTAGCCATTGGACAGAATATCGCTCAAAACCCTTAATTACTGAAATTAATCAAAATCCGTTCGGTCTTTCATACCGTAAAAATTGAAACTTACTCATGTTACAGACCTGTTGAGTAAAAAGATTGAGAAAGACAACCTTGCTAATTCAGAAACCTCTGATTTAGTTTTAAGATGAGTAAGATTTCTTAAGTTTCCTTAAGCCCACAGCATCCCGAAGTACTCCAAGCCACTCCGAACCACTTCGGCACACTTTTTCTGGGGACCCTTGGTTTTGATGTGGATTACGCCTTATACTCACTAAGTCTCGTATGTTTTATAGTTGAAAGTTTTTAAGAATGGCGGGATACTGAAGCTGATCGTCTGTTCTATACCATCGATAAATTTTATAGAACTTAAATAAAGCAGAATGAATTTGTTGAATGCTCATATTGTTTTCTTTGGCGGTAAAGAATGAATTTAGCTCGTCATCGTAATAGCGTCAAGATCTACTGAAATAGTAAAAACCGTTATCAAATCTCTTTAAACAGTTCGTTGTACTTCAAAGTCTTTATTATATTGTGTTTCTTTGCTATGTGACCAAAACGGCACGGTCAGGAAAGTAAAGCCTAGTGAAACTTCTTGTAATCAAGATCTTGACTTCTTGAATTTTTCCAGTGAGGTCTTAGTAAGAAAATATAAAAATTCCAGAAATTTCAACAAGTCAAGATCTTGAACTTGTAGTAATTTCTTGACTTCTTGTAACCAAGATCTTGGAAATCTCTTAATTCATCGTTTTGTCTTACACACTTGTGTAAATATAACTGCGAATATTTCACACTTAGAATAACTTCGAATTTTTTTCCTTCTTGAACATAGTTATTTAAGAAAGAATCTATGACCCTGTATGGTCGTATATCCAATGGCTAGGACCTCATAAATAAAAACAAAATGTCTCAAAAAACAAATTCTCTATCTTGTTATAATAATACTGTGTTGTGCTGGGAGTATTATCTGAGATTTACTTTGTGCAAGCCCGTAGAGAAGAACCTACATGAGCAGCCACAAATTGAAGGTCCTACCCAGATCGTGATGTAGTTTATTCTATTAAGCAGGACCACGACCAGCACAACACTGCCCTTCATTGTTACTGATATTACTATATAAGAAATTATGTATTGTTAGATATACGGATTACAGCTGAGATAGCTCACAAAAAAAAATATTGACATCAACATATTGAGACATTTTTATCAACACTACGAAGGTCGTTTATCAGAAAATAAATATTTGTTCCAAGTCAAGAAATGAATCTCTGCAACTTTTATTGCAAAAGTCAGTTTTTTGTATGTAAAAGCTCGAACATTTCAGATTTTTCTAATAGATGATTTCTTCTTTTTCAACATGACTTGCATCATTTTAAGAGCTCATCGACGTCTAATTGAACCAGGTTGATCTAGTTTGGACCAAGTTTGAAAATGAACTCTAAAATATCTTATTCCGAAAATCCAACAGTAAAACAAGTTTTTCTGAAAACCTCTAACGTTTTTGCTACTGGAAACCATTAGAGTGACACCATTTGATAGAGCTCGTTCCGGTGATTCAGAAAAGGCCGGTCTCAGACTTGGACCAAGCCGAGAAATGAATCCGGAAAACTTTTGTTCCCATCCATGACCAGAAAAACCGGTCTTTGAAAAACGTTCTGATGTTTTAGAAAAACTTGTTTTACTCTTGGATTTTCGGAATAAAATATTTTAGCGTTCACTTTCAAACTTGGTCTAAATCTGAGAATTTGTATTTCCTCCTGGACAGTATATGCTCAGCATTAGTATACATGACATTGGTTTCTGCTCGCTAATCAGAACGACGTCAAATTTTTCTAAATCGGATAATTTAGCATACTTTTGGCTAAAAACATTCTAGCAAGAGCTAAATTATCAGGGAAATCTCTGCAAAAAGGCGAGAGCGAAGTCACAATTTTTTTTGCACAAAAAATTTATTAATAAATAAAAATAAACTAAATACTAGTATGGCGAGCGTCAATTTGAAAACGTTTGAAGGCGGACTTTTAATTATTTTAGAAATGGAAAGCCATTGTTACAGAAGCGGAAGTAACAAATGATGGTAAATGTACATTTTTACAATCATACCATATTTTTGCCATTTCAAATATGATTAAACGATCGATTGTGGTGCTCGGAGAGGAGTTTGTTGACACAGGTAAATAAAGATATTTTACATTGTAGAACTAATATATTTAAGCCCTTATCTCATACGATCCTTCTTCATTTATTAAAACGAATTTAAGGATAATCCTCTCTTCTTTGGGGAAAAACGTTTGATTTTGAGAATAACCATGTTTTATAGAGCTATGCGAATCTGCATTTATAGCAAGGGTGCTAGAATTCTACCTGTTCTCATCTGTACTGAGTTGATTTCTTTGATATCATTACAGTAAATGAGAAGCAAGCTCAGTTTAATGATATAACTGGCATTTATCTACCATTGTTGTTTACGGCGAATAATACATTACATTATCCAATTGTTCTTGGTTATGCTGCTACTCATTTCACAGCGTAAATTTAAGGTAAATTTAAGGTAAATTTAAATAAATATTATGCAAAGTGTGACTGTAGATCAAAATCTTTAGTATGAAAGAGAAGAAATGTTTTAGTAAACCCTCTGTTTACAATGAATTATATATATATAATTTTATTTCTTCTGTAGTTACATCGAAGTCCTCAACCTTGTCGCCGTCGTTATATTGTGGAGTACCACTGTCGTGTGTATCTAGTTCATCCTCCTCCTTTCAATCTTTACCTGTTCATTATATTAATTACGTTGAACAGATGCGCGTTCCACACTTATTAGCAAAATATTTAGTTATTGAAGAGATTAAATTACCTGAAGGCCAAATGATTAAATGTTGTGCATTAAATGAACAAACGCTACCAGAGGATATTAATGTTTTAAATAAATATATAAAATATCTTGAAGAAAATTTACCAGATGAAGAACCGATGCCACCGGATAATTTATCTGAAGCCCATGATATGGTAATAACATATTTTCTTTCATTTGTGCATTAGTTACAGTTAATATATTTATACATCAGACATTCAGAAAGACAATCTGTCGAATAGCGATCATAGAAAATAAATAAACCATATGGGTATATAACGCATGTCTTGAACTTCTAGACAATATATACTGATGGGTTTTATACACACACGTATATTCGCATTTTGAACTACAATACTGTTATATAAACTTATTATTTGTCTCCTAATTACTGAACCCTTTTTTATTATTAAAGGAAACGGATGTTGGTACGAATAACGATTGTGTGTTTAAAGTTGGTGACGTATTTAATTCTTTTAATGAATTTAAATATAAATTAAACGATTATTCAATAAATACTGGAGGAATGTTTTCTATCGGTCATTCAACAGACATCTGAATTAGTTTATGGAAAACTTTTATATGTTTGTTGTCATGGCGGCAAACAGCGTTGTCGCAGTAAAGGTATTAGATCACAGCAGCATCATATGTCATTAAATTGTCCGGCTAAAATTCGTCTTTTCAACACCGGCACACAACTGAAAATCAGCATTCTAAATTTCCATCGCAATCATAAAGTAGATCCATCAAATACTATCCTAGAAATCATCGTTTAGAGAATGAAACCGTAGAATTGATCAAAAAATTTGATAACCATAAAGTTCCACGAGCTATAATACGTGATATGGTTATGAGTGAAAATAAAACATTTACCATAGTAAAGGATATCGCAAATGTATTAAACAAAGTAACAACAAATAATATTCCATCTCAATCTATAGCAGTACAAAAGATTCTCAATGAAATTAAAAGTTTAGATCCAACGGCTACAATTGATATCAATGTAGGAGAGAATGATCAGATGGATATGATTTTCATTGCAACATCAAAGATGAAAGAAAATTTTCAAACATTTCACCATATTATATTTTTTGATGCAACATACAAAATCAACATAGACAGTTTTTGCTTAGATGTATTTTTGGTAGAAGATGGTCATGGGATAGGTGAGTGTGCATGTGCTTTTAGATTTGTGAGTCAGTCAATACCCTAGTGAGAAACTTACTCGAATCTTATTAAGATCTTCGTAAGATTTCGCTTACATTTCTCTAAGATCTTAGACAAATCTTACTAAGATCGTGAGACCCGAAAATTCTAAGATTTGACAAGATTCTTCTGAGATATATAGAATTTTTCTTTGCAAGCGATTTTTCTAATGTAAGCGAAAACTTACTAAGATCTTATAAGATCTTACTTTGATAATTTTAAGAAGTGTCTAAGATTTTACTAGAGTAAGATGGACTTTTCAAAGATTGGCGAAATACCGAGAATAATAAGTTGTATAACTCAGATAACCATAATCTTCGATTAAAATTCCATAAAGCCAAAATATCGTACTCGCAAAGTGTTTCTTGAAAAGACTTTAACGTTAAAGTTTAGTACATATGATTGTCTTTTCTAAGGTCAACCGGTTGGTATTGGATTATTAGCACATGAAGCTCAAGAAAATATACGTCAGTTACTTTTAAAATTTCAGTCTACATATACAAATTACGAAGTAATTAAAACGTTCATGATTGATAAAGATTTTAGTGAAATGGCTATGACACGTGAATTATTTCCGTCTTCTACAGTATTATTATGTTATTTTCATATTATTAAAAACCTGAAAGAAAATATTGCTAAACTGCCCATTGATATTGAAAGAAAGAAAAAAATATTAGACTTATCAAAACAAGTAATATACAGTCCTGATGAAGCCAAGTTCAATGAAAATGTTAATAGTTTAGCGACAGCATCATTGAACAACGATTACTGGAATTATTTTCAACAAAATTGGCTGAATAAAGTGATTGAATGCGATGCATTCGAGTATGGGCTATCGTTTCCTATCTTCAAAAGATTGGACTTTCCGAAAAATCTCCAGAAAACCGGAGAGAGAAAAGTATAAGAAGAAAAGTGACTAATAAATAAGCTACGTAAACTCGTTATTGAGCACGATCTCCAGTCAATAACAGATTTAGATCTCTTTATCTCTTATTTTCTGCCGAAAAATTACGCTTCTGGAGAACCCTGTAAGCTCAACTTATTTTTCAAATTTTGCGTCTTTGTGAAGCCCCAAGGCTTTTCGTGGAAGCTCGTGAACCTTTAAAAATCTCTCAATCATTTTTAAAATTACGTACCTGAATAGAGCATACAATTCTGAGTAAAATGATCTGTGATTCAGCTGTCCATTGTGGTTCCTCAGCAATAAAAAACACATACAAAAATCGCGGTTGTAAAGCTATGATTTTCTCTCTCCGGTTTTCTGGAGATTTTTCGGAAAGTCCAATCTTTTGAAGATAGGAAACGATAGCCCATACTCGAATGCATCGCATTCAGTCACTTTGCTTCATTCTTCGCGCTATTCCTCGCATCGTTTTGGATATGCTCGACAAATTGAAATTGATTAGAGGCTGCCAGTTAATTTTCCATGCATCAGCTCTCATAAAATAACTTAGGAGTGATTTATTTTTTGTGTGTTTTACCTAGATTTTGCCTGCAAATTTGTTAATCAACAACTGCAGTTCATGGATCGCATTCAAATGGCCATTGCTGACATGAATCCATTCGATAATGATAACGAATATGATAATACTAGCCATAATGATATTATTACTATAACAAATCTTGATAAAAATAAATCATACAATATTAATAAATTTTTACAATCGTGTTCATGTTATTTTAGCTGCACAATGCAATTGCCTTGTTTACATGTATTATTTTATTTAAAACAGATTGGTAAACTTACCTTGAATTATACATTAATTGCACCACGATGGCTTCGTTGTACAACAGTAAATGATATATCCTTTAATCCTGTACCATGTTCGCATACAACATCAACGAATTTAGATAGCAATATTCCCACATCTGATTATTTATCAAATTCAAGTGATGAGGACGAAAATGATCAGGCAAATTTTAATGATTATTTGACGGTATCAGAAAAAAACCAACTTGCTTGGAAAGAATTGCATATGATTAATAATTATTTGACCCAGTTGGGAACTAATGAATTCCATGAACGTTTAGAAGATCTAAAGAACTTATTTAAATCATGGACTGAACGACAGCAGTACGTATCGCCCGATTATGGGTAGCTTTAGCTTTAGATATTGCCATATTCATTTCGCATTGTTCACTACTACAGTCGAAGAGCGACAGGCTGATTATTGCAGGCACGAGCCAGTTTTCACGAATTTCTGACCTATAATGATTTGCTGAGCCGATATGATTCATTAGAATCGGTTTTCGTTTTAAATTTCTGAAACAGCACATCACTTTTGACTATAAATTACATTTTGAAGCTAAGGTTTACATGTTGGGCTAATTGAGCCGTCAGTATTTGAGTTATGTTTTTAGTGACACTATATAAATGAAGTGAAATTTTTCGGTCCTGATATAGTTAGTCTTTTTAAACTTAAGACCTGATATTCGGATCCAGTATCAACTTTTGCATCGAATGGTACTTACTTTAAGTAAAAGTGAGACAAAAACTTTCCAGTTTCGCCAAAGAAATGCAAGCTGTGTTCATCAGAATTCGACGCTGATTATATAAGGGATTCCTTGTACGATACAATGAGGGACGTTTTTAACTGTTCCGGCTTTCCTCGTTTAATCAAGCGTTTCTATGCAGAAAACTTGCAAGAACTCTATGAGAGGTTCACATTCGGAATAAAAAAATTTGTTCTTTGTT